TTTATATACTGGCACTCCTCCCCTCTCTCTCCCGCCCTCATAACAAATTGTAGATATGTACAAATACGATGATTTCGCAAATGCACGTGCGAATAACTCTGGTGGATTTTCCTTCAGTTTTATGCACACTCATGCACACTCATACAAGACTACATCATTGGTCACGTTGATCTTACTGATCTTCAGTTTTAATTTCATGCACTCTCGTGTTGTGTACCAATCATTGGTCACGTTGATCTTACTGATCTCATTTACCGATCTCGAATATCACGGTCACTTATTTTAATTTCATTTCTCATTGAAAGTTTCTTAATGCAACATGTACTTTAACATATGCTTATGAAATTCAATGTTTCACGTTTAACCGCCGCGTTATGTTATATAAGGTACATCTGTACGAATGAAATCATTCTTTCACGAAACATTAGAAAAATCAAGAGAAACTCAGAAAAACATAACTTTTTATATTCGATGGGTTGAAATTAGCTTGAAAATTCTTTTCCAAACACGTTAGTTAGTACTCCTTTCGACTGTTGAAATTAGACCTTCGATGAGGTTGCAAAAGATAGAACGGACTAAGTCACTTCATGTGTATTTAATTCTTCATCATCGTGAAATTGCAAAATATGGGATTGAAACGTTCCCTTCCAACGCGTCAATTTTAATGCCACCATTGGTCATTATGTGTTTTTGCCATTTATATCTTTTCCTTCCTTTTTTTAATTACAACGTACACTCGAACAAATCTAAATGAGAGAATCAGAAAAGGACAGAACAATGAAATCGAGCGTGAAATTCAGTGTATATTTTTCGCATATATTTTGCTACAGTGTGTTGAACTGATAAACAAAAATGGCTAAAATGAGAAAATTGTCAAGGCTATACGTGAACGCATATCACGGAAGTGGTTAAATAAACTTCGACGAAAAACAAAAGTACATTTACCTTAACCGAAAGACACAAACATGCTATTATCGTACACAAAAGTGGCTGCAAAAAGTATCTCCGAGTACCTTTATTTTTATGTACAAGAGTGCCGAATGACACGAGATTTTGACATGGCAGAATCAGAGCAATTATGCAAATAACATTCGAATAATTTCTCACTGTATTCACTTGTACGGAAAATTAACGTGGTCGCGAATTCTTACATACTTGATGCAATTATGTCACGCACTAGTCTGAAGTTCAACTGGCACGTTTTCCAGCCTTTCATTTTACGTCTCTACTCGTTTCTTCCACAAAGGTTGAAATCGCAAGAAAACAATGCCTCTCAGTGCATGAAAATATTGACATCGCGTAATACGAATCAGAGCAGAACACTGACCTTATTATTCTTCATATTTCACATGAGATTCGTTGCTACGCCGAATTTCACAAGGAGGACAAAACTTGAGATTAACATTGTGCGATTGACCGCTAAAGCTGGCTTCAGGAACTTTTTCTTTCTTTCAAACCGGACAACATGTGATTTATCACACGGATGGATATTAAACTTGAAAACGAGTATATTCGCATGCATATGGAAAATAAACTCTTTAGTAAGAAATGAGGAATAATTATAAATAATGAAAGTATATTATGAAAACTAATGGAAAATTTAAGAGTGATAACAGTATTCACATATATAACGTTTTAATTACATATGATAAAATAACATAATCAGTTATCACATCATACGTGTGAATTGCACGGTTCGATTCGTATCTCGTTCGATTAGATTCGTATCAATAAAAACCGATAAGAACGAAAAATAGAAACCAGATGTAATAGTTTTTTGGTTGTGAAAATGTCCTTTTAATTATCATTATAATCAGCCAGTATTATAGTCAGCTTCCTCAGGGGTCAAATGACTCACCGACGTGTGTTTATCAAAGTATTATTAAGATAAAATTCCTAATGGACAGGGCTTGCATTTAGACCTGAAAGTATTGCAATTAAATGTTGATGAAAAATCAGTTAGTCAGTGTCGTAGAGATCAGTTGTTAAATTCTAATTAAACTAATTCCTGTACCAAACGATACTGGAAATTCATTTAATTCTGAATTTCCTTGAATGATCATCTTTTAAATAATAATTTTTCTCTACTTTTTAAAATGTACCTTTTTAATAATACCTGTTATACAATCGGATAAAAGTATGAAGAAACATTGTAATATTACAGACGTCATTCAGTACTGGATATTGAACATTTATAAGCTATATATTAAAATAAAATTCCTAATGGACAGAGCTTGCATTTAGACCTGAAAGTATTGCAATTAAATGTTGATGAAAAATCAGTTAGTCAGTGTCGTAGAGATCAGTTGTTAAATTCTAATTAAACTAATTCCTGTACCAAACGATACTGGAAATTCATTTAATTCTGAATTTCCTTGAATGATCATCTTTTAAATAATAATTTTTCTCTACTTTTTAAAATGTACATTTTCAATAGTACCTGTTATACAATCGGATAAAAGTGTGAAGAAACATTGTAATATTACAGACGTAATTCAGTACTGGATATTGAACATTTACAAGCTATAATAGATGTGCTAGAGCTTTTTGATATCTATTGACACTTGTGACCCAGAAATTTTTGCTGATCTAGGGAACAAATATTTCGTCGATAATACAAGAATGATATTTAAACAAGAAACACTTTTTATTATTGTTATTATTAAGAGAATCGTTTAATTATTCAAGCACCATACGACGACGAAGTTTCAAGTAGATGAAGTTTCAAGTCGATTCGTGGAAAGCCGGGGTCATTGCACGCTACGTCCGTTTTACATATACCGTAGCTTCGTATATTATAAGAACAGAAGAAAAGAAAACTGGCAAGAAGCTTGGGATCTGTATCCTAATTAAAATATAAACTTACAAACGCGTTGCGATTACGAACGATAACATAAGCTTAGGCTCTAGCCTTCCAGCTATTCACGGTGTCTATACTGCACTTCATTTCTTAAAAAAAAAAAAAAGCTACTACGAGACTCTGGCGTGGAATGCCTGTGTGGCTAAAATAAGAAGAAGCCAGAAGACAACAGCCAACGGAAAACACCGTAAGCTGACGCTGACATTTCGCACTTGGCCGTACAAGATTCATGACTAATAGGGAGAACAAATGGAAGAGAAGGAGAGGAGAGCCATGGAACAAGAATTACGAAGGAGAAAGAAGACAAAGAAGTATCACAAGTATATGAAAGGCACGTTTCTCAGGCTGGCTAATAACACGTTTGATATATATGTATGCAGAATCTTATCTCTAAAGGGAGAGAGAGGAAGGCAAATACAGTTAAATAGCGGCACTTTGAACCACAACTGTACCACGTGTTCAAGTTTTAAGCAAGGCTTCCGATGACTGACGTACAAACACTTGCTATTGATCAATCGGCATATTAAAAATCTGATACATACAGTATACGACGAAAATCTTCGTTTCATTTGAATAATATCAGTATTTAAGTTAACATTACAGCGTAAGCTCGGCAATGAAGACTGTTTCTTTTTAATTCGTTGATGTTTCGTTGCGATACTGTTACATAAGAAATATTTATAGTTATATTTATATTTAATTCATTCAGCTGTTTATACGAGAGAAGAGAATTTACTCGCTCTACAACTCCATCTTCCACAATCTACTGTACGTAAAAGACGTCAGTCAATAGCCTCACAAAGCCCTTCAATCGAGGATCACAATCCCAACGAAGTATGCTATAAATAGAAGCGATCCAGCCCGATCGTAAATTAAGGCATTAAGAAGCAATACCGAAGTAATATTGAAATAGCCGCGCCCAGAACCCAGCATGCGTCAGAAATTTTGGAAGCTTGCAAAATGAATTCATATTTTGCAAAGTTAAGTTATTCTTCTTACTATTTTTGCAAAGTTAGAGTTTCCTCGCCAACGTGTCCCCCTCACGCTCGAAACATGTAAATTACAGTTTCTCAGAATTCTACGTCCAATTCCAACTGCAACACGACACTGCAACACATACTATATATGTATATATATGAATCATTCAGATGAGTTGATCGACTATCAAATTGAAAAAAATTGAAAAATTTACCTTGGAAATTGCGATTACTTGTGTTATCTTTATCGTTCGAGACGCACCTGAAAGATAAAATTGAAAAAAGAAAAAGAAAAGATCGGCACAGAACTTAATTACAGTTAACAATTACAGTGTACAGCTTGGTGTATTAGTGAAAACAACAGTTCGGAAGAACCAGTGACGTACGAACGATCTACGAGCTCGGATCCAAGTTCAACGGTAGACATAAACGATCCACCAGTCACGGGTTCTAACTGCCGTAGCGGAGAGGGTCCAAAAGAGAACGGAGCGGCGGCCTGCCAGAGACGTGACGAGCAGTCGCCAGCTGGTAGCCGGTCTACGTGGATCGAGCAGTCTCGGCCGAAGAGAGAGAAAGAAAGAGAGAGAGTGCGTGTGTGTATGGTGTGTGTATACGCCTTCCTTTTCTTTCTTCTTTTTTTTTTCTTCCTTCGTACGTACGCAGCGCGGTGAGCACACGCAAAGAGAGCGACAGAGCGTGTGTGGTTTGACTGGCAGTCACACTCGCGAGGAGAGGAGAAGCGTAAGTGAGGTCGTCGCTGATAACACCACGATGAGTAACCATCGTCGTTGACGAACGATCCAAGTGTCGAAACAAATCGTTTCAATTGAAACGACGTTCGAGCCGTACTTTCTACGTCGCGAGAGACTAGGCTCCGGATGAGAGCGTGTCTTCGGCAGAATGTCGTTGGTGCTTTCGAAACTGATAAACAAAACGTCCACCAAATACGGTATCAGGCAGGAGCAACTGATCCATGGTATAGTCGGGGTCGCGACCACTTTTTACTTCATCAAGGTCGGTTATCCATTGGTGACTTTCGCGGTAAAACAGTATCAAAGGAGGAAGAAACAGGCCGAGAACAGCGTGCAAGTGGCAAGCAGGCACAAGAATGACAGTGGTAAAGCTAAAAGTAGCAGGCCGAGTGGCAAAACCGGGAAACCAAGCGTGGGTTTGGACCGGGAGTTCGTCAAACAGCTGATCGAGCTGTTGAAGATCATGGTTCCCGGATGGAGAACGCGCGAAGCCGGATTACTCACTTGTGCCACTCTGACATTGTTAGCTAGGACGTTCTTATCGATCTATGTGGCCACCTTGGAAGGTCAGATTGTGAAGAGGATCGTTTTGCGAGACGTTCGAGGATTTTCTCTGATGCTCGCGAGATGGTTTGCCATAGCGTTCCCTGCAACGTTCGTTAACTCGGCTATCCGATATCTAGAGGGGCGATTGGCTCTTAGCTTTAGGTATTTACACGAATGACGTATTTTGTAGTTTGTGTTACTTTCAAAAAATTCACAAACAAGTGTCCACAAGTTTGTTCATTTGTTTTTAAAGAGGGCGCCTGGTGGAGCATGCTTACAAAATGTATCTAAGTCAACAGACCTACTACAGAGTAGCTGCGTTAGACAATAGACTTGGTGGTGCTGAACAAAGACTAACTGACGATTTGTCTGAATTGGCTAGTTCTGTGGCACATTTATATTCAAGCTTGACCAAACCATTGTTAGACTGTGCATTAGTCGGCATTGCGCTTATTTCTTTCTCCTCCAAGATGGGAGGAGCAAAAAGGATATATGGTAATGTGATTAATAAGTTATAAGATGAATAATAAAGCATTTGAAGAGCAAATTGAATGGCATACCAATATGTACTTAAGATTTCACTGTATTGTTTTACAGGACCACTACTGTCATCTGTGGTTATTGCTCTAACTGGACAGATTCTACGTCTAGCCTCTCCTAAATTTGGCCAATTAGTAGCTGAGGAAGCATCGAAACGTGGAACATTAAGAGAGGCACATGCTCGCATCAGTGCTCATGCAGAAGAAATTGCATTCTATGGAGGTCACTGTACAGAACATCGATACTTGACTACTGCCTACAGATCTCTTGTTTCACATCTAAAGAGAGTGTTAGCCCTTAAATTTTGGTACGTGATATTGGAACAACTGCTCATGAAATACGTATGGTCTGGCACTGGACTTTTAGTTATTGCTATGCCTCTTCTTTATACCACGGTCACATCGGGAAGTACAGCTTTGAAAGATGATGGTGATGGTATGTAAATGCCAATTTAGAATTTAGTTATTCTAATATGTAAGATATTAATAAGTTTATTTCTTTACAAACAGGCGGAGTGAGTGAAAGAACTCGATACCTGACTACTTCTAAAAATCTTTTAAGTTCTGGGGCAGATGCTGTAGAAAGACTCATGTCGTCCTATAAGGTAAGATTTATAGTTAAACATCATATTAAACTGTTTGGGAAGTAAAATGTTTATAATTAATTTTGTGTATTATAGGAATTAGTGGCATTAGCAGGATATGCAGCACGAGTCAGTGAAATGTTAGATGTATTTAAAGACGCTGCATTATGTAAATATAGAAGAAATATTGTTAACAATCCATCGAGAATAACAAATGATACAACTAATTTAGCTGTAGAGAGTATAATTGAATTGAAGGATGGTGCACCAGTGATAAAAGGTAATTTTATGAGATAATATTTTAAGCATACTCACTGATAACATATAAATAATATATGTAACAGGAATTGTACGTGAAAGTACAGATGGCAGTATAAGCTTAATTGATGTGCCAATAGTTACACCAAACTGTGAAGTTATTGTACCTAAATTAACTATTCATGTAAATATCTGAAGCTGAACTTTTAAATCATAAACCATCCAGAAAGAACGATTACTGTGCAGCTTAACTTTTTGCAGATAAAACCAGGGGACCATATATTAATTACTGGCCCTAATGGCTGTGGGAAGAGTTCAATGTTTCGTATAATCTCTGGCTTATGGCCAGTGTATGGAGGCACTTTGATAAGACCGGCAGAGAATTATTCTGCTAAACGAGAAAGACCCGCCCTGTTTTATATTCCCCAAAAACCATACATGACAGTCGGTTGCTTACGTGACCAAATTATATATCCCTCAGAGTCACAAACGGAAGACTGCTCAGACGAGCAACTCCTCAAATTGTTGGACGAGGTCGATTTACGAAGTCTGGCAGAAAGAGAGGCCGAAGGACTGGATGCTTTTGGCGATTGGGACTCCACCTTGTCTGGTGGCGAAAAACAAAGACTCGCGATGACGCGTTTATTTTATCACGCGCCGCAGTACGCACTATTGGACGAGTGCACCAGTGCCGTGAGCCTCGAGGCTGAAGGAGTGATTTACGAAACTGTGAAAAGGAAAGGCATAACGTTGTTAACTATCACGCATCGCGTAGCTTCTCTCGCGAAATATCATAAGCTACTGTTGCGCTTCAACGGAGAAGGTGGTTGGACTTTTGGACCGTTAGATGCGGACGGTGCAGCACATCTAACAACGACTCAAAGTTACGAACAAACCGAGCAACACGAAGTGAAAGGAGGCCACTATCAAATGTTACATGTACGTTCGCCTGTCATTTTTTTCCGCTTCAATATGAAACGGACAAGCATGTTGCAACGACCATGTACCAAATGTATTTCTGAATGCTTTGTTTCTGTTCACAGGATCTCCGTGACATTCACAAGGAGGACACGAAAATTGGCATTAGTTGAAAAGATGGGAACCAATTACTTTGTATTCTAGTGAATTTATGTAGGAACTTGTCCGTTTGTAAATAGATTCTAGTTAACGCGTTTTGTACAGCTGTTCACAAAGATTTTTAAACAAATATTCTATTTTTGTATGAATAAACGTCGCTATTTAATGATACAAAGTATAAATAAATGTAATTTGAATATCTATATCCTGACATTTCCTTTTTACTGCCCGTTTATTTTATTTTGCTTGTTTATTTTTGCTTGTTTACTATATGAAAATATTACTTTCACTATCTTAATTACTAATATGTAACATTTATTTATTTATACTGTATACGAATACTATTATTTCTCAGTATCACTTTTACACACATTAACAAAGCTGTTTTTATAAGAAGGCAATGCAGCCAAAAAAGATTAAAGACAAATTATTTGTAATACAAAATTAAATATCCAAAGAATATTTAAGATAA